AGGGTGAAGAGGAGGAGGAATAGAGGGAAGGGGAAAGGGAGGAAGAGGAAAGAGGAAGGGCAAGGAGGGGAAAAGGGGGGAAGAAGAAGAGGGGAAGGGGAGGAGGAGGAGGAGGAAGAAAAGGAAGGGGCGAGGAGGAGCAGGAAGAGGGGGAGGAGCAAGGAGGACAGGGAAGGGGCGAGGAGGAAGAGGAAATGGGTAAGGGTGAAGGAAGGGGAAGGACGAAGGAGGGGGAAGAGGGGAGGGGAAGCTGACCTTGTGTAGGACAGGTATTCCCAATGACATCACGTGTCTTCACGCTTTCTTAATTCCGAAATACACTTTTTTTTAAAATCCAATCAGCGAGTATTTCCTAACGTCTAATTTTAGCATTGCCTTTGAAGTTTAGAAAAAGGAAGTGTATTTAAGGATAACTAACCTTTTGATCTTCTGGGCATGTCCTTGTGAGCATTTTTTTTTTTTTTTTTTTTTTTTTTTTTTTTTTTTTTTTTTTTTTTTTTTGTCATCGAAGCTTTGTTAACATGCTGTAAGTGGCATAATTTATGAGGAAATAACCTTTGTATTTTTCATTGCAAAGATGTTCAACTTGCTGTATTTTTTGCAGTGTGTATAAATGTTTCACGTGCATGAAATTATGATGATTTTTCTTCCTTTTGTGATGGCAGGTGGGTAGGCATTCCTATATTTATTTACGCATTTTGATATTTTTCTCTCTTAAATAACTTCTTTTGCGCCATTCTTTTGCTCGTAAAAGCCATTATTGCCTGTACGCCATTTTTTGCACGCGCCGAAAAGATATTGTGGAGTGAAAAAATATGCAATTTTTAAAAAGCTGAACAGTGTATTAGCAAGGAAGGAACTAGTGCGAAAACAATAATAGTTTGTTTGATTAAGGCAGCAGGAGAAGTGAGAGGGGGGGAGGGAAGGGGGGATGAGTAAATGTAATTTTCTTGGTGTTGCTTACATTAATGAGCATGCACGACTTTTCTCGGTTGTAATTTGTAACTTAACACCCGTCTCACCCTATTCCCGCCCCCCCCTTACCCGCCCGTTTCCCACTACCCCCCACTCCCCATCCATCCCCCTCACCCTTCAGTCCCTCCAACCCCCCTCTTGCAAGCCCCACCAATTCCCTTATCCCTCACTCCCCCCAACCCTCACCCACCTTCCAGTCACACCCCTCCCCGCCCCCATCTCCATCCCCCAACCACACATCCCCTTACCCCTCAGTTCTCTTCTACCACCCTCCTGCTAGCCCCCTACTACCCATTTCCCCCTCCCCCACCCTCCCCTTACCCCTTTACCACCACCACCTTAGCCACCCTCCCTCTCCCCTCCAATTCCTCCCACCCCTACCATCATCCCTCCCCTCTTCCTGCAAGTCCTCCCAACCCCCCAACTCCCTACCCCTCACCTACCCCCTCCTCCCCCCCAACCAACTCCCTCTCTCCTCCTCCCCCTTTTTCCCCCTGCCCCCCCTACCCTCCCTCCCCCCCTGGGAATAACTACCACGGCCGTGCTCCCTCAGCCTCGCCGGCGCAACGGACTCGCGCCGCCGCCGAGGGGAAGCTGGCCTCTGCTCCTGCTTCTGGGCCGTCGTCTGGAGGGAGACGCCCTTCGCTCGCTCGTCTTTGGGTTGGTCTTGTTGTTGCTGTTTTTTGTGTTGTCATTGGTATTTTTAGGTGTTTTTCTGTTTTTATTGATATTTTTCTGTTGCTTGTAAATGAGGTTGTTATTGTTTGTGGGTTTTTATTTTTATTTTTATTTTCTTATTTATTTTTCATTATAATTATTATCTTTTTTACTGTTGTCAGCATTGTTGATGTGATTGTTTTGATGAGTTTGTTATTATTTTTATCGGTGTTATTTATGTTTTGATGTCATTTTTTCTGTTTATCATTATTGTTGAAACCATCATCACCGTTATTTCATCCTCGTTACCGTTAGAATTCATGTCAACGTTTTTCCTATCATTATTACTACTACAATTCTATCTCTATTATGGTGACTATTTTTTCTCGTTTTGTCAACTGGAGTTCTTTATTTTTTTATTTTTTTGTTTGCATTTTTTCATGGGGCGCAAATATCAACGTTTATGTGTAAAAATGGGAAATAATTTTAAAACTTTTCACCTGCTTTCGCCTGCAGTTAATTGAATGCACATCGACGGGTAAATGGCAGCGCAGAATAAAATGTGATGTGAAAGTCACTACAGATATATATATTTCCGATTTTAATGTGAGGATTTGCATGTTGTGTGTGGGTTAGCCCTCCCCCGTTCATTAACATTGCGCGCTGATTACGTATGCGATAGATGCAGAGGGAGGGGAGGGGGGGGGAGGGGGAGAGAAGGGAGGGATAGAGGTAGAGGGAGGGATGGAGGGAGAGAGGCAGAGAGGCAGAGAGAGAAAGAGAGAGAGAGTAGGGGAGAGAAAGATGGGGGAAGGAGAGAAGAGAGAGAGGTAGGGGAGAGAAAGATGGGGAGGGAAGAGAGAGAGAGAGAGAGGTAGGGGAGAGAAAGATGGGGAGGGAGAGAGAAACAGGAGTGAGGGAATGAAGAAAGAAAGGAGGAAGAGACATGGGAAAGGAGAGAGACAGTAAGAGAGTGAAGGGGACAGAGAGAAAGAAGGGAGTGTGTGATAGAACAAGGGTTCTTAACACGCCCGAGGGTAAGAGTGTTGCATAATGCATGGTCTGCATAAGGAGCAACACTGCTGTTCATGATTTATCAGTTTCATATCTTATCTCGAGAAGGAAAGAGGTCTTGCCGGCGGCCTCCTGTTTTTGTTTTCGTTTCATATTTATCCCCCTCATCATTTTGTGGAAAGGGGAAATATGAGGTGCTCCCAAATCTCTCGAAGGCCTCCTCACCTTCATGGAAAAAAGAAGAAAAAGTGCTTCCGCTGTGCGTCAATCCTCAAGTTTGACTCCACCTCCCCCCGCTTCCCCCCCCCTTGTGTAGACCTTCCCAGATATACCCCCCCCCCAGCCTCGCCGAACCGACCCTCACTATTTCTCTTGCTCATTCTTCTCCTTCTGTTGACACAGACTTTATTTTTCGCCCCAAACATTCTTCTATAATATCCTCCTTGAGACTGCGAATGTCTTATTTCCTCCTCCTCCCCTTCTTCATCTTCATTCTCCTCCTCCATCCATCTCCTTCTCCTCCTCTTCCTTCTCCCACTCCTCCCCTCCTTTAACAATTCTCTCCCTCCTTCACCTTCATTTCCTCTTCCCCTCTTTCTCCTCTTTTTTCTCCTCATCCTCCTTCCTCCTCCCTTCCCGTCCTTCTCATCCTCAATCCTGCCCACTCCTACCTCCTCCTCCTCTTTCTCCTCCACCCCTCCCTATTCCTCTCCCTCTTTCCTCGCACACCCATAAGTACCTTCAACGTCTTCCTCTCTTCCCTCGGGAGGCGTTTCTTGTTGGATGTCGGTGAGGGAAAAATATTGTGAAAGTGGAAGGTGATGCAAGCAGAGGTCGCATCTATCTTGCCTCTATCTTCCTTCTCCTCTTCTTCTCTCTTTTCATTTTCAATCTTTTCTCTAAATCCTGACTCTTAACAGGAACGTTTTTTTTTCTCTTTCTTTTTTTTTCTTTGTCTCTTTCTGTGTCAGTTTTATTACTACATTTTTCTCTTTCTCTGTCCTATTTCTCTATTCATATGGTTATTTAACCTCTCTCTCTCTCTCTCTCTTTCATCTCTTGCTCTCCTGTCCCTCTCGCCTGTCTCTCTCTCCTCTCTCTCTCATCCCGTATTCTCAGTCGCGTCTCCTCTGTCACCTCTCTCCTCTCTCGTTTCTCTCCATCTCTTTCCCTCCATCTCTCTCTCCATCATCTCTCTGTTCCTCTCTCTTTCTCTCTCCCCTCTCGCTCTC